AGGCCCGGGGGTTGGGGACCACTGGTCTATAAGAGTCTAAAGATCAAAGAGCCAAATGGGTTCTTTGATCTTTTTTCCTAAAAGATTTTAAGTCACTGTAGCCAATCGTGTTCCCTGTAGAGCTTTGCTATATTTTAGGCAAGCTACATGACTGCATGCTGCTGAGCTTTCTCCTCTAGCATAACTAGTTTAAGTAACAGACAGTGTCACCTTTGAGATGGCGTGTAATCCATGCATTTTATCCCTACACTTCACCTGTTTAAAGCTTCGCCTTTTGGACATGTTGCATAGGCAGCGTGTCCAAATGGCAATAAATAGAAAAAAATGGCTGGATGATAAAGTCTGTATTCTCAGGATTTCTTTGAAGAACCCTCACCGTCATTTTTTCTGTGTCTAGCAGAGCAAGCCTGCTTACAAGCCTGCTCAAACATCTGGAAACAACCTAATGAAGGACCAAAAGAAGCCCAAGCAGGAGGAAAAGAAATCCTCCCCTGCACAGCACGGTGAGAGCTTAGCCATGGAGAACGGTGTGGAGGACAAGGAGCCAGAGCAGCTGAACGGAGAGAGAGAGGGATGTGGGGCTCTCATCCAACCCGAAAGTGCCTTTAGCAGTGACTCCAAGACGTGCAATACTAATCCTCACTTAAATGCACTAAATGTAGACAGTGGCTGCCATAGAGATGAAGGTCTTGAGGTCACTGTCTCAACAGAAGATTAAACCTATTTTTCTAGAGAGGGTGAAGGATGAAACATGGAGCAAGGTTAGGAACACGAGGAAATATGGAAAGCTTACATTCATTGTACTTTTTTCTTTTCAAACAAAGAAACGAGATGTAATTCGGATCCCTCTCTCTAAACACACGAGATCCTAACACCGGTAACCTGGAGTCACTCACTCCCTCGTCACTTCAAATCAGAAGGTTACTGCTCGAAGACGCTTTAATTTGAAAATATGAGTTCATCTATGTTTGATCTGCTTCTAGTACTTACCGTGTTGCAGGTATGGATTTTGTGTTATCATTGTAACCGCTCAGTGAAACAAGCGAGGCATAATGTTGTGCTTCCGTCACCACTTTGAGTTGTGTTCATGTTTAAACAGCTCTGTCCCTCCACGCTGTTTCGCTTATTTAACTGTAAGTAACGCCTCGAGAAACAGCTCTCGAATCACACACGCAAAAAAAGAAAGCTTGAATCGGGGTTTTGAGCTGTACTCGAAGATGTAGAGCTGTCGTGTTACCACTTTGATAGAAATCTTCTGCATGGTTCGCAGTCTAACCAGTGTGTAGTTATTATGCATGCTGTCCTTTTTCTTCCATTCTTCCCGGTGCCCAATTACAAATTAATGAAACATCTAATACCAACAAAAGTCCCAAAAAGTAGTTGTTCTAACCTGGAATCTTCTTGTGATATGGACCTGTTGCATTAAAAAAAGGTTATTTAGCCACTTTGGAGTAGTGTATTCATGCTATATTGTTCTGTTACTGTTTCCTGTTTTAGTCAAAGAAATGAAACTCACCCTTTGTGTAGCTAAAAGGCAGCGTGCTCCACCTTTAAATCAAAACTTTAGCCATTAACCAGTAATCATTAGGGAGATTTCCTTTAGTGTTATTTATACACTTGTAATTCCTCTCCACCAGAATCATCATTTCATGTTTTCACTTAATACTGCCAAAGCTTTTCATCTACCACTAGTGATTGGAGAGATGGTGTAATCTCCTACCCCCGTCCCCCTCGCAAGAGCTAAATGAGTTACCTTCTGTGTAAGTTGATCAGAGTTTCCGCCTAACTCTTGGATTGTAAAAGAATGAACTGCTGATGGGTTTGGTTGAATGTTCGTGGATTTTGGTGTGGTGTACTTGAAGGCAACTTAGCTACAATGCTTAATAAAACTATATTCTTTTAGTACACACTGTTGGTGGTTTATTGATCTCTCTTAACACTGGGACATGTCGTCATAACACTGTGGTGGGCTGCTAAGTTTACACAAATTTTTATTTTTTTTATATCCAAGAGACAGTCAAAAGAAAGATTCTGCACCTACACCCATTGTGCCCGTCTTCCTCGAGGCTAAGCAGATACACTGCAAAAGCTAGCAAGCTACTGGCACAAGAATAGCGGTGCAATATCACACTTTTTACTCCCCCACCTCCCAACATCATAGGAGGGAAGAGAGCTGCGTACCCCAGGGAGAATGAATGATGCCCAGGATGAAGCTGCCT